TCCACCATTGATGTTGGGAATGTATGCGGCTTGGGTACGTCACCTGGTAACTTGTACTTGTTTTTGTGCTACAGTGAGGAGTTGAGCAAGCGAATCCCGAGTATGCCAGCATATTCTCAGCCGCACTCATTTTAGCCCGAGCCATTTTGGCTCCAGGCTGGTTCCAAGTAGGGCCAAACGTTTGGGGAGACTGACACGGGATCTGTTAGAGGATATGCCGAAGAAGACCAAGCCTCCTAGCATCAAGGCCAAGTTCGCCGAATATGACAAGGATGGCAGTGGCAAGATCAGCCTTGATGAGTTCAAGGCGCTCCTCAAGCAAGGGGACCCAAACATCTCGGAGTCGTCCGTGATGACCGTCTGGAAGAAGGTCGACAAGGACGGCAGCGGGAGCATCAGCTCCAGCGAGCTCGCAGACTACCTGAGCAGCGGCGACAAAACGGATTTCAAGCACCCGGGCATGTCCCCGGCGTGCAAGACGTTCTGCGACGTCTTCTCGAGCCTGACGCTGCAGAGCGAGGCCGGGAAGGAGGCCCGCGCTCACGCCTTCACGGCCTGCGACCCCAATGGCAACGGTTACGTGTCCCTTGCCGAGGTGGACGGGTGGATTCAGAAGGTCTTGATAACCTACTTCGCGCAGGGCGAATGCGACGGAGATCCCAAGGAGGAGGGGGTGCGCATCTGGAAGTGCTTCCGAGCTTCCTACATCCGCGCTCACACAGATGCGAAGGACGTGGCAGAGGGGAAGACATCTCACAGCGACGACTACGTGACAGCGAAGGAGTTCCGCGTCCTCTGCGTCTACCTCATCTTGTACGCGGCGATGTACGACGCCTTCTGCCTCATCGACGGCGGTGGTGGTACCGTCGAGGACAAGACTGACGATGATCGCAGGATGACGGCGGAGGAGTGGGCGGCGGGCTACAAGAAGGTTGGGGACCATGGCTTCATCGGCCTCAAGAAGGCGGCCGCGATGGATGCCGCGGGCGCGGCGGAAGTATTCAAGAAGATGAACAGCGGCAGGGACGCGGACGGCAAGGAGTACGGAAACGACAACGTCGTGATGCTGGCCGAGTTCTGCGCGTACGTCGAGGCGGAAGAGATCGCCGCGGGGACGGAGTGGGGTAAAGTCTTGGGCCTGTGAGGCAGCCCAGATGCAAGGGTCTGAGTGGTGCCGCTGCGCCCTTCTCTTTCCTCTCTGGCACCTGACTGAGCCAGTCCGCTTCCCATGATTTGAAGAGGCGATCAGCGCGCTTAATGCAGCGCGCGTTCCACGGCTCTACGCTTGCGGATCGGCGCAGCCCGTTTGGATGTGTGCCCCTCCCCCCCGCACGATGCAGCCCGCGTGGATATCTGCGCCTCCGAAAGTATCGATCAGATGATGAAATATCGCTTCAGCCATGGTTTAGCACAACAGTCAAGCGTTGCGTACCAAGCCACGGTCCAATCAAAGCAGACCTCATTGCGTTGAACAGGCAGCCCCGAGGCGAGGGACCGAGGGCCGACGACTGAGTATGTGACCCTCGCCCTCCTCTCCCTCTCTCTCTCTCTCTCCCCCCCCTGAGCGCCTGGTTGAGCCGCTCTGTCTTCCTTCCTTCTCCTCCTCCTCCTCTTCCTCCTCCTCTTCCTCCTCCTCCTTCCCCTCCGCCTCCTCCTCCTCTTTCCCCCCTCCTCCTTCCTCCTCCTCCTCCTCCTCCTCCTCCTCCTCCTCCTCCTCCTCCTCCTCCTCCTTCCCCTCCTCCTCCTCCTCCGCCTCCTCCTCCTCCTCCATCCCAGCAAGGGGCGGCCGATGCGCTCAATCTGGTGCGCGCTCCACGGCCTCTGTGACTGCGGTACGGCACACCCCTTTTGGACGTGAGCCTCTCCGCGTGCTCCGCCCGGACGAGAGGAGCAGACTCAGCCATCCTCAGCTGCACTCAGTGCTGCCATCAGGGAGTGCCCTCGCGTGGCCCAAGACAGTGCAGCTTTGTCGCTGGGAGCGGATCCGCGGCGTCACAGTGCAGCGCTCGGGCACGACCAGGATCAGGTGTTGGGCGCGGCAGGTGCATTCTGGTGGGCGCGATGTCGGGCATGCACCTCGCAGACCGCCCTTGGGGTGAGAAGGAGGTTGTGTGTGTGTGTGCGTGTGTGTTAATGGCACAGCTCCCAGGTGTAGACGCGCGCGTTGCGCTGCTGGCGCTCAGCCTTCTGCGCGCCCCGCCGCCGCGCGCGGGGCCGCGACGCCCCAGCAACGTGTGTGTGGCACGGCTCTCCGCTCTGCACATCATGTTCGGCGGCGAGCGAGGGAGGACATGTGAAAAGGGGCGAGCCTTCTCAGAAGGCTCGGAAGCCCTCCGGCCTTCGGAGATGTTTGTAGGCCTTCCCCGAAGACACAGAGAACCCCTCGGGAGGCGCGAGGACTCCCGAGCAGCCCCGCCGCCTTTTGAGACGGCCTGCTCCTTCTCACTCTCCCCCCCCTCGCTCGCCGCCGCCGACGTTCGCGCCGCGACCACAGAGGGTGCAGTGCCGTTTTTAATACATGCTCCGCGTGCGGATCATGTATTACAAATGCAGGGACTTGTTATTAAAAACAACGATGGGTTCATGCATAAATGTATCCGTAAATCAACCATGTGTTATAATCCAATATCTTTAAACATCCTATGTATTAAGAACTGCCCTGTAGGATAACGGGGGACCTCGACGGCACGTTTTATTGGTATTTCCCCAAAGAAGTCTTGCCAGAGCCAGTCAACACACAACCAAAGTACAAGCGGGACTCCTTTTGGGCCCTCTCAGACGCCTCTTGGGGGCCTCCCGGGAGTCCTGGATGGGGCTCTGGGGGCCATTTTGGAGGCCAAGGGAGGGGTCCTTCCTCTGGCGCACCTCCCCCCGTCAAGAGCCTTCAAAACCGTCTCTTGTGGCCCTCTTGGGGCGTACAGTCATCAGCCTGACCTAAGGAACGACAAACAAGGAACGAAGCCCCTTTTTTATCCCAAGGAATAGCGCACAAGGAAGGATAGATAACAAATTACGCATAGGGAGCTGTAAATGACGCATGCAAGCCCAAGGAACGACCGAGCCCCTTTTGAAAAGTAGGTGCTCCTTATTCAAGCCGCTCACTGTATGGCCCCGCCGGGGTGTGGGCCCGCCCTCGGCGCCGCTGGGGCCCGGGGGGCGCCGGGGCCCTCCTGGCCGGGCCGCCCCTGGGGGGGGCGCGGCGCTCCGTCGTGGGGGGGGGGCCGCGCGCCCGCTCCCCCCCCCAATGGGGGGTGCCGGGCCGCAGGCCGCAGCCTCTTTTGGGGCAGAGCGCACGCGCGCGCTTCGGAGCCGCCGAGCTGCTTTTTTTGGGGGGCCTTCCCGGGGTCCACCGGACGGATCTGTTATCGGGGGCGGAAAAGGGGGGGGGGGTGACTAGGGGGGGGGCGGATTTCATGGCGCCCGCCTCCTCTCATGGGGGTGCCGGGCTGCAGGCCGCACCCTCTTCGGGGCAGAGCGCAGGCGCGCCTCGGAGCCGCCGAGCTGCTTCTGTCAGGAGGGGAGAAACACACACAGACACAAGGAATCGTCGATTCCCAGGGAAAGATGGGAAGATATGGGAAGTGGGGGGGGAGACAAACACACAGAAAACATGGGAAAATGTAGGGAATCTTTGAGTTGTGTGCATTTATCTGTGTGTCCTAGGGCCCCTTCATTTTGAGGGGCCTTCCCAGGGCCCACCAGACGGATCTGTTAGACCATTGGTTTGGCTCGGGGGCGGAAACGAGGGGGGTGATGACTAGGGGGGGTGGATTTCATGGCGCGGGCCATGGTATCTCCGCAGATTTCATGGCGCCTCTTCTTATTTCATTACGTCCCAGGCCCCCGCGCTGGCCCGCGCACATGCCGCCAGTCATGATTTGCACCCCCCCCCGTCTTGGACACCCCTCTTTTGGCCGCTCCCGATAGACCATTGGTTTGGCTCGGGGCCCCCAAACGGTGTGGTGACCACACCGTGCGGTGAGTCGGTGGGCACTCGGGGTCACCGCACGGTTTTGGGACTCGGGTCGTTTTCCGAGGACAGCTCGGGCGACAGGGGCATCCGGGGTCCCAAGACGGTGCGGTGACGGACCGTGCGGTGAGGTCTCTTGGGGTTCCGAGGTCACCGCACGGTCTGTCACCGCACCGTCTTGGGACTCCAAATTGGCTCCAGTCCGACCCAAGTTCGACTCCGGCCAGACCTATGATGTTCCGACCTGCCGTAGCCTGAACCACCAGAATGAATTTCGAGCACCAAGAAAGGGTGCCGACACCGGAGGGTCTTCGCGCGTCGGGTTCCGGGAGGCGATGCTCGTTCGACACCGTTTCGATGCCTTTCTGGGTGCCCCAGATTGCTTTTGGGATGTGGTCCTCACGTGCGATGGGAGCAACACGAAGCTAGGCTTAAGTCGGGCGTGTCCCCCTACAGAGGGATTTTCGACAAATAAAAGATACCCCAAACATACCCCAGAAAGGAAGACATTCTGGATTTTTGTTTATATATATGTATATATGTATACATGTATATGTATATATATTTATTGTATATATGTATATTATTATCATCATTATTATTATTATTACTCCTCTTCTTCTTATTAGATTTCTTCGAAAATTGCCCCTGTAGGGGGACATGCCCGACTTAAAGCTAGGCTCGAGATCGACTCAGGGTCGACTCAGGTTGCTGGACGCTCGACGCGTCAACGACGCCCGAGTGGAGCGAGCGGCTCCAGGAAGCGCCCCCCGGAGCGAGCAGCGAAGCCATGAGGATTCCAGGGCGGCGCAAGACAGCCCCAGGAGGCTCTCAAGAGGGCTCCAGAGGTCTCTAAGATTCCAGGAGGGAAAAAGCACATAGACACACTTAGTCGTCGATTCCCCTGGAAATATGGGAGAATATGGGAAGTGTGGGGGAATACGAAAACCCAGGAAATATGGGAACATATGGGGAATCCTGTTTGCCTGTTTTGTGTGTGTGTATTTATTTGTGTGTCCCAGGGCCCCTTCAAATATTCTCTCCAGGGAGGCTCCGAGAGCCGAGGTCCGCCGAGGAAGTCTTCATGTTGAGAGTGTTAGTTTTTTCCCGCAAGGCTCGCGTCGCCGATGCATCGGCGATGCATCGGTGGTGCGGCGCAATCTTCCGACCCCGTCCACACTTGCCCGATGCGTGAGCCTCCAGTTTCGGGGAAACGTAAGACTCGAGTAAGCTGGAACTCGGGTTCGCCGACGTCTTTTGATGAGCGCGTCCTGGATTTTGAAGGTCCGGTTCTCGTGGGATGCCTGCCGCGGGAGCTCGCGCCAAAGTTCAGATCGGGTCTCGTCATTTTCATGATGACCCCTGTCAGGCCAGCCCCGAGTCCCCCGTGCCCGAGTCTTGTGTCTCCCCGACACTCGTGACATCGTGACCTGCTTCAGCGAGGTCCCGACGACGGTTCGCGACGTCCTCTGGGCAAGGGGCGAGATCGTGGCTGGGCGACGGCCCCAGATCCAGTCGACGGTCCTGGTGATTATTTTTTCCCCAATCAGAGCTTGCCTCTGTAGGGGTCCTAGCGGATTCATATGGTTAGGTTAGGTTTGTCGCCGATGGTGCCCGGGTGCCCGGGGGTGCCTGGGTGCCCGGGGGTGCCCGGTGCCCGGGTGCCCGGGGGGTGCCCGGGGGTTGCCCGGGGGTTGCCCCGGGGTGCCCGGGTGCCCGGGTGCCCGGGCGTGCCCGGGCGTGCCCGGGGGTGCTCGGGGGTGCCCTATAGCCCCAATGCGTAGCCCTATAGCCCTATGGCCCAGTAGCCCAATAGCCCTACAGCCCTACAATTCTATAGCCCTATAGCTCTATAGCCCTATAGCCCAATAGCCCTATAGCCCTATAGCCCCCTAGCCCTGTAGCCCTGATTGGGTTTTTTCTCCGGTATCATTGAGTATTTTCTGACCATTTTGGAGTCATTTTGGGGTATTTCTCAAATTTTGGTCGAGAATCCCCCCCCTGGGGTGGGCACGCCCGACTCAACACTGCGTCTCTCCGGTAGTTGCGCAGCGTCAGGCTGTCGTCATCGGCTCCAGCTCGGCAGCCCTGCCGCTGCCGTGCCGCAGTCTCCTCCTCCTCCTCCTCCTCCTCCTCCTCCTCCTCGATCCTCCTCGATCCTCGATCCTCAGACCTCCTCCTCCTCCTCCTCCTCCGCCTCCTCCGCCTCCTCCTCCTCCTCCTCCTCGATCCTCCTCGATCCACGATCCTCAGACCTGCTCACGCAGTGGAAAAGATCGATGGCCTGCGGGGTCCCTCGCCATGCCCCGGGACCCTCACTAGAAACCACTCATCGGCGTCCCCTCGACATACTTCTACTATGTTTGCGTCGCCCCCCCCCCAGGGGCGACGCGCGCACCGACAAATCTTAATGGTATATGCGTCGTGGCGGGCGTTTTCTGGCCACACCGCTCGAGAAACGATACACTACAATATGATCTACTATATGTTTGGGTCGGACGCGCGCCTCGAAGGTGTACATATAGTATTAGTATGTC